AATATCAAGCACACAATCCACCATATAAGAAAAAATGTATTTCAAGGTAAGAAAAAGTTCCTTGCCTTTTTTTTGAGCCAGTTTCCCTTGTGACATTGACTCTTCAAATGAGCCATCAATCTCCACACTATCAGTAGATTAGATCACAGAATAGGAACAAGTGAGTACACTGATGAACTGGTAATTGCTTATGTGAAACAAAAAGAGAAAAACGTGAAATCTTAGAACTTTTCCGAAGCAGGAAAGATTAAGAGCAATGCCTCATAGCCAAATGAACAATAAAAAACAAGAAGTTTCCAACATTATCGCAAATAAAAGGTACTTCGTCACACTGATTTTAGATATAAACTCGGAAGAAAGTTGTACCCTCTCAGTCCGTCCAACTTGAATTATTTCATTTTCACCTATAAGGGCTTAACGATTTTTATAAAATATTGATTCCCCACCACCTGATATCACATACAATATAAACCCAAACTTCAATCATAAAATATACGATTTAACTTGACATACAATAACGAAGAAAAGATAAAGTCAGATAAAGTTTAAAAATGATATTCACATGTCACAAACAAAAATGTTTCCTTTCTCCTTCACAAAGTACCAACTTCTCTTATTTTAACAGATAATATTTCAAAAAAGAATTTCGTGGGCGCTGCCCCCGAACCCCCGTGGGCCCCCACCCCTTCAACTCTGGGACCCTTCTACTTCGACGAGCTGGCTCCGCCCCTGAACACAGCCATTGCTACCGTCAGAAATACCACCTGCCAATCCAATAAAAAAATTATTAGCAATGAATACCTAACACACACAGATACATGTTATTTTGTGTCTATATTATTTATATACACACACACGAAAAAATCGAAAAAGGGGAAGACACCAGGTTGTTTCTGTGTGAAAACATCCCAGTTACTCATGCCTTTACTTCCTGCATTCCATCCACCTTCAATCAGCATAATTATATGCCCCAGAAATCAAATTATGCAAAAGCAAGAACAGAAGCAAATTACATGAGTACTTTTTCTTCTTCATTTTTTTTCTTTAGCAGAAATAAAAAAGGTATAATACTATTATGAATTTATATTATTAAAACTCAAATACCACGTATACCTGATAAGCTGAAGTTGCAGTGCCAAATGCAAAATCATTAGGAAAATCAGAGCGCTTCATCTTGGTTTGGGTGTAACTGCCCACCTGACCACTGATGGGAGATTCGTCGGCGCTAGTAATCATCAGTAAGTTACATTGGACATTCATTGCTACAAATGAAGATTTAGGTACACTTTGGAGTAGTGTAAGTTGGCCTATTTGTTAGGATTTGAAGTTGTAGGAAATCTTTTGACAAAAGTATTGTTGTAAAAGAGTTTTTAAAAGTCAAAGGGTCAAGTAGTAAGTTAGAAGTCCAAGGGTTCGAGTATGGAACAAAGGAGTAAACGTCGCAGCAATTTCTCTAGCCTATCGCCCAGCTGTTACTCGAGCTGTAAAAACCGAAGTTGCGTCGCCCGCCTGTCGGATGGACATCGCTCGAGCGAGACACCGTCGCTCGCCTGTCGCTGAGCTCTCGCTTGAGTGAGACACCATCATTCGAGCGACAGTGTTTCGCGAAAAAATCTAATTCACGTTTTTCAAGGCTTTTATCCAGCTCATACCACCCAAAACCTCTTTACTATATATTGGACACCACTCATACGAAAATTACAGGTTGAACATTGAGAGAAACATTGTTTTGCATCCTCCATATCATTCCATATCATTATTAGAGTTCAAACAACATTTCGCTTTGATAATTGGTTTGAAAAACATCATACTCACTTAAACCAAACACCAAAACACATACGTCCACAACATCTGTCAAAGCTCTTAAGATCAATGAAGGTGACTGGAGTTTCTAGTTGTTAGAGAACAAGGACACTACAACCAAAATGGTCATTTGCAACATTAAAAAGGCAACATTTGTCAAAAGGGACTTTTGGCAACATTTTAGTAGGTGAATGTTTTCGTTGGTTAGTATAAATGAGTTTTGCAAAGTTTTGCAACGTTTATTGAGTGTTGAGGAAAGTTTTATTTTTCGTAACGTTCATCAAATATTACAAAAGAAAAGCCTTGTGCAACGTTTGTCAAACGTNAAGTTGCGTCACCCGCCTGTCGGATGGACATCGCTCGAGCGAGACACCGTCGCTCGCCTGTCGCTGAGCTCTCGCTTGAGTGAGACACCATCATTCGAGCGACAGTGTTTCCCGAAAAAATCTAATTCACGTTTTTCAAGGCTTTTATCCAGCTCATACCACCCAAAACCTCTTTACTATATATTGGACACCACTCATACGAAAATTACAGGTTGAACATTGAGAGAAACATTGTTTTGCATCCTCCATATCATTCCATATCATTATTAGAGTTCAAACAACATTTCGCTTTGATAATTGGTTTGAAAAACATCATACTCACTTAAACCAAACACCAAAACACATACGTCCACAACATCTGTCAAAGCTCTTAAGATCAATGAAGGTGACTGGAGTTTCTGGTTGTTAGAGAACAAGGACACTACAACCAAAATGGTCATTTGCAACATTAAAAAGGCAACATTTGTCAAAAGGGACTTTTGGCAACATTTTAGTAGGTGAATGTTGTCATTGGTATTAATAAATGAGTTTTGCCAACATTTTTTAGAAAAATGTTGCGGTAGACACCTTTAGGAACGTTTATTGAGTGTTTACCTTTCGCAATGTTTATCAAACGTTTATTGAGTGTTTATCAAACGTTGCGAAAGGTAAGACTTTTCGCAACGTTCACCAAACGTTGCTAAAAGTATCACATTTAGCAACATTTATCAAACGTTGCGAAATGTAAGACTTTTCGCAACATTTAATAAACGTTGCTGAAAGTCACTTTTCGCTGAACGTTGTCAAAAGTGTCAAACTTTGTTAAAAATCAAAAGCCATCATTTTTCCTCCTCTCGTTTCCGTCTCACTCTTCTATTGTTGCTTCCCCACACTCACACACACAAACTCACTGCTTTCCTTTATCTCTGCTCGATGCCACGACTGCTTCGCCTCCAACTTCTATGGGACCCACGACCCCATTTCCTTAGGCGACTTCTTCTTCCTTTCCCTTCACTCTTTCACAAATCACAACGAGCCTGCCCTTTTTTCAACCCAAACCACGCGAGTCATGATGCTATGAGGAGTCATGAGTCCTCCGCCAGTCGTCACCTCAAAGTTAACTCACAATAATTCCTCTCTCATCATACTCAATCCGATCCGAGTTAACTTGTTCATTACTGTCTTCGCAAACTGATTTTTGTTCCTGGTACTGCTTCCCCAACCTATTTACATATTTGTCTTGGTCTTTTGGTTTGATTAATTTTCTTGTTTATTCAGCTTCTTGAATTTGAATTGATTGGGTTTTTTCAATTTGATCGGATGGTGGTATTTATATAATTGAAACTATGCTAGACTTTTTGCTTGATCAAAGATTTGACGATCTTTTATTCTGCGGTTTGAATTGATTAGGGATTTGGGAGGAAAGATGAGTGAGGTTTATGAAAGACTGTACTGTGACCTGTTCGTAAATTTGTCAAGAAAATGTGTTGCTTCCCTTATGAGAAGTAATTGGCACTTTACTTTTGATATTTGTAGAGGACTATTGCATTTACATCTATCATTGCAATATTTATAATTGAGAGAGGACATGAGCACAAGGGAACTGTGTCTATTATCCCCCTTCTTCTGGTTGGTATAGTCAGGATTTTGTATTGGAGGAAAGTATTATATTCCTTCAGGCTATTTAGACATTAACTATGCAACATTATAAAATTCTAAAGCAAGAAATTGATAGTCAAGTAGAGTTGGGTTTTGGAAATACATGGTAACTATAATTTAATTAAGATGATTCACCTGAATGAGAGTGCCCATCCCCCTTTTTCTGTGGTTGGAAGGATTACAACAACTATATAAGTCCATTACCAAAACATGGAGTCAGCTGAAGAATGCTTGTTTGCCCTCTGTAATATCTAGCGTTAGCTCTACATGAGGTTCATATTATATACAAATCTTTTGCAATAGTATCATGTCTAGTTAATTTTGGTATACTTTTTCCTTACTGGCAAACGTCCTCACATCAAGTGTTTACACAACGCATTTCAGAAAATTGTCACGAATCAGGCCTTTGAAAAATGAAACCACTTGTACATGAGGGGTTGTTGTGTGGAAGATGAAATTTGAATATATGATTTTTTCCCATCGTTAATGAGGGCTTCTGCTTGGTGTTCTAATATAGCTACTACTTTTATGGGTACTCCTCTGCAGAGGTTTCATTCAACTAAGAGAAAATTAGTTAAGGTTAGAGGAAAGATATTTGCCGCCGCTGCTGTTCCAGTTGCAACGGCTCCAGTTGTGGAAGTTAAAAAGTGAGTTCCTTACTCATCTCTATTTGGAGCTTACTAAGAATTAATTCAATATACGAAGCTTGATTAGAGAATCCCTTGATCACTATTTCCAGATATGTACTTCCGACATGGGCTGAATTCGATCTTGGAAGAGCTCCAGTCTACTGGAAAACTATGAATGGTATTCTTCCTGCTTCAATATGTGTAATATCATTAACAGCATTAATGAATTTGAACGTTCATTTATTGAACTTCGCATCTGATTATGATAAAAAAATTTAGGGAGAAAGGCTGAAGCTATTTTATAATCCAGTTGCAGCAAACTTGTTCCTAATGAAGATTACGGAATTGCTTTTAATGGTAATCTCTCACGTGCCTCTATTCAGAGCTTTATGTACTGCCCTGCATTTAGATTAAGGTTGGAGTTGCCTTGAAAATTTATCGAGTACTGTCTTAAGACGGAAACTCAATTCATTGACTTGCAGGAGGTTTCAACCAGCCCATCATGTGTGGTGGTGAGCCGAGGGTGATGCTGAATAAAGTTCGAGGGAAAGCTGATCCTCGTATTTACACAATCCAAATTTGTATCCCAAAACATGGTACCCTCATAACCAAATTTTTATATCCATTTTACTCGATATAAATTCGTTATCAATGGCTATGACATTTTACCATTTGGCAGCTGTAAGATTGATATTCTCATTCACAAATGGTACTAATTGTGATGGTCCATATAGACTGCAATTTCAAGTTCCAAGAGCTTGGCGAAATAAAACAATGGATTTCTTCACCGTGGTAGGTAACAAAATGTTTTATCTTCTTATTTTTCGGGCACTTCTTCAATAGAAAAACTTTCATCTCTGGTTTCAAGGGCTTGCACAGGAGTTGAGTAAAGAAGGTGCATGTGAAAGAGCTATTTTCCCGGACACTAGTATCATCGCCACAAGATGTGCCATAATCGGTAACTTATCAGTCTAAGGAGTAAGTGCATTTGATATTTACTTTTATCAGTTAATACTATAAATCATTACATCTAATGTAATTCTTATGAGAATGCAAGGTGACCGCTGCAATCTTGATCTTGTACCTGGATGCACCGATCCCAGCTCACCCATGTATAATCTTCTATCCAATGTGGATGATGGCTCTTGCCCTCCTTGCTGGTATATTTTGTTCCTATAATTTGCAGATGGTTCTCTGTGAAAAAGCTGTTAGTTTGGAGAATTAAAAGCTTAGGGCTTGTGGTAGTCCTTTTTTTTTTTTGGAAAATGTATTGGATTTTTAGGTGCTTCACAATTTTGGATTTGAATTTTATATGGATATTATTACATTTTGGAGTTAATTTTTTAGAAGTTTCAAAATTTTTGATCTGAATTTTGTATGGATATTGTTACATTTTGGAGTTCAGTTAATGATGATTATTGGAGTTACTTGATATTGTTATCTTCTATTTTGTTTTGGGGTTGATTTATGTAAATCATTGTACAGGTAAAAAAAATTCAAAATGACCTACAACAACGGTCAAAATATGTTGCAAAAAAATAAGGATATAACAATAGACAACGGGAAAAAAACATTGCAAAAAGGTATTCGCAACACTCAAAAAACGTTGCAAAAAGGTATCGCAACACTCAAAAAACGTTGCAAAAATTTTTTTGGCAATACTCAAAAAACGTTGCAAAAAGTTATTAGCAACGTTTAAAAAACGTTGCCTAAACCCTTTTGCAACGTTCAATAAATGTTGTTGTATCCTTTCAGTCTATGGCAACATTGAGCTTTGCAACATACTTCTGAACGCTGCAAAAGGCTTTAGGCAACGTTTTTTGAACGTTGCAAAAGACCATTTTTGGTGTAGTGGGAGTTCTCTTAATCCACAGGAATAGATGAATTCAGAAAATCGAGAGTTGCTGCATAAGCACGCAATCCAGGAGGGCTTTGGTGATTATAGTCAGGAGGTCAAAAAGTATTAGGGTTAGTCGAGTCTGATAGTACTATGAGTTGATTCGTTAATAGTGGATTGTTACTGGTTTGGGCCCTGAGTTTTTACCAGTTACAGGTTTTTTCCGTTATCAAATTTCTATTGTTATTTATTTTTTAGTAATTTCTTGACTGCGGTAATTCAACATATGATAGTTGTGCATGTGAATTCATCTGGATTAATTAATAATTGTACCTTATTGCAAATATTAATTGGTAAATTTAAATTCTGAATAAACACCTATTCACCCATCCCCATCTAGGTGTTAATTGGGTCGAATATCGTAATTTCAATTGGTTTGGATTAGTGTGCAAAATGGTTGGACTACCCTTTCTTCTACTGTTTCTGGTGCAGTTACCCCCACTGACATTTATCTTTGGACCAAGGATGAACTAGCTGAGTACAACTAGAATAGTAAAGGCTTCATACCCTGTTTATGGTTGTGTCTGCTGAAGAGTTTATGAGAGTGTCGATGTGTGAAACTGCGAAAGAGATTTAGGATATTTTAGAGACCCCACACGAGGGAACTAAAATCGTTAAAAGCTCTAAGATGCAGATGTTGATCTCTAGGTTTGAAAAAATTAGAATGAAGGATGATGAATCGTTCGATGAATTCTATGCAAAGCTAAATGATATAGTGAACTCTAGTTTCACATCTAGGTAAAAAGATCCCTGAGTCCAAAATAGTTCAAAAGGTCCTTAGATCATTGCATGAGAGGTTTAGACCTAAGATTATGGCTATTGAAGAGAATAAGAACTTTTAAGATAGAGGAACTTGTAGGATCGCTTCAAACATATGAACTCACCATATCTCAATTGAAGAAGGTTAAATCTATAGTCTTGAACACTGTTAGGAAAGATGAGTGTGAGTCTACTGACACCGACACTCTTAGGGATGATGATATAGCATATTTTGTAAAGAAATTCCAAAGAAAAAATTTTGTATTTTTTTTTTTAAAGACAAGCGTTATAAGGAAAATGCTAGGAGTTCCAGTAAGAAATATCAGTTTGTTAGATGTCATGAGTGTCAGGATTTCGGTCACTATAGAAATGAATGTCCTAAATTTAAGAAAAACTTAAATAAAGGAAAAGGTAAAGCATTGACAGTGTCTCTAACTGATGATGAATTCAACTCTCAAGTGTTCAGAGTGATACCTCTAGCAGTGAGGATGAAAGGAACTTTATGGCATTCATGTCTTTAGTTAAGAATGAATCTGACAATGATAGTGAGAAGGTAGAAAATAATGAACATAGTGAGAATTCTGAGGATGACTCTGAGGATGAGACAGACATTCGTGAGGCTTATCGACAGTTATATGATGAGAGTCTTAAGATAAAGAAAGTCAATAAAGTCGTGTTGAAAAGGTTAATGAACTTTAGATTGAGAGATAAAAACTCATAGTCGATCTTCAAGATTCTACCAAAAATCTAAGTGAGTTAAGACTTGTCAGTGAGAACTTAGAAGCTAAGGTTAAAACCTTAACAAGCGAACTAGAAAAATCTGAGACTCACCTTCATTCATTCTTAAATGGTTCTCAGAAGCTTGATAATATGTTGGGGATGAACAAACCAGCTGGGAATAGGCAAGGTCTGGATATGTTCAAACTAATAACAACACCACTACTACATCCAATGCCACATTTGTCCCTGCCACCAACAAACTTAAGAATGTTACTAATCCTGAACCCAAGGGCAAAAGTGTCTTAGGACATAGCTCTACAAGACAACGTAGTACTAATCGACTTGTACATCAATATCAACCATCACGTAGTTTTGAACCTAGGTTTATTCTTACTTGTCTCAATTGTGGTGTACTAGGACACACAAAATCTAAGTGTCATAAACTTGCTACTAAAAATAGAAATCAAGATATCTCGAGCAAGGTTAACTTCCTCGCCAATCAGGTTTGCCACTTAACTACGATGATGACACAGTTGACTAGGATTACATCTATTTCTAAGAAGGTTTGGATTAAAAAAAGTGATCATCCTAGGTCTAATGAACAATTGAATTGTTATGTTGTCCATGTTGTACTTCAAGCTCAAAATAACTCTATGTGGTATCTTAATAGTGCATGTTCTAGACATATGTGTGGTATTAAAATCTTGTTCTTTACTCTTAATGATTGGAATGGCGGTATGGTTACTTTTGGAGACGGGGCTACTATACCTATCCTAGGTAAAGGTACAGTTAATATAACTGGATTACCTGCTATCTGAAATGTACTTTATATGAAAGGTTAAAAGTCCAGCTTATTAAGCATTAGTCAAATATATAATGCTGATTTTGAGGTTAGTTTTGTCCAGAAAAGATGTACTGTGTATGATTCTACTGGTAGTGTTGTCCTCGAAGGTGTAAGAACTTCTGACAATTGTTATGGAGTTCTTCCTAATTCCAACTATGTGTATAGCAATGTCAAGATTGATGCGACTAAACTTTGGCATCAAAGACTTAGCCATATGAAGTATAAGAGTTTGTCTAAGTTGGCTAAGAAAGAACTTATTAATGGTTTACCTAAAATTGAAAAAATTGAAACCACTATATGTGGAGCGTGTCAACAAGGTAAACAGTTTAGAATAAATTATAAACAAACTTCTAACATCTTGATAAACAAACCTCTAGAATTACACCATATAGACTTAATGAGACTATCTAGGACCAAGAGTCTGGGTGGTAAACGTCATATTTTGGTTGTGGTAGATGATTTCTCTCAGTATACATGGATTAAGTTGTTGAAAGAAAAATCTGAGGTGTTCAGTCTTGTCATATCCTTGTACAAAAGGCTTAGAAATGAGAAAGACTTCACCATAACTAGAATTCATAGTGATCATGGGAAAGAGTCTGAAAACTCTAATATTGAGAACTTCTGCATGGATAAGGGAATCCAGCATAAGTTATCTTCCCTGATCACTCCACAAAAAAATGGAGTTGTTGGGAGGAAAAATTGTATGCTTCAAGAAGTGGCTAGAGTCATGTTTCATGGTAAGAAACTGGCTATGCATTCCTGGAATAAAGCTATCAACACTGCATGTCACATAGTGAGCGGGGTTTACCTTAGACCTAAAAATGATAAGACACTGTATGAGATCTAGAAGGGTAAAAGAATAACTGAACCTAATGAAACTTCAATTCCCGATTCCCCACAATTACCAAAGACCTAGATACTTCCACTAAGGAGTCCTCACCTGATGATAAATCTAAACCTCCTAAGGAACCTTTGTATAGAGTTAAGTCTAACTATCCTAAGGTTAATATTATTGGGAATTTAGATGAAGGGATGAAACTTCACAAGAGGTTTTAAACAACCCTGACATTTGCTAGTTATGTGTCTCAAATTGAGCCTAAGAAAGTCGGAGATGCCCTTAGTGATGAATGTTGGGTAAATGTGATGAATGAGGAGCTAAATTAGTTCGTGAGAGACAATGTATGATCTTTAGTTCCTAGGCCTGATAATTGTAATATCCTATGTACTAAATGGATATTTAAAAATAAGACCGATGATCAAAGTACCATAACTAGGAACGAGACTAGGTTAGTTGCCCAATGATATACTCAGGTTGAAGGGGTTGACTTTGATGAGACTTTTACCGTGTAGCTCACCTTGAATCCATCAGAATTCTTCTGGTTGTTGCTTGCACTTTAGGGTTCAAATTATATCAAATGAACGTCAAGAGTACCTTCTTAAATGGAATTCTTCAAGAGAAAGATTATGTTAAACAACCTAAAGGATTTATTGATCCTAAAGTTCCACATTATGTCTATAAACTGAATAAAGATATGGTCTTAAACAAATTCCTAGAGCTTGGTATGATAGACTAACTGTATATCTCATGGAACATGATTTTTCAAGTGGTGGTGCGGATAGAACTTTATTCATTAGACTCATTGAGGAAACCATCACCATAGCACAGATTTATGTTTATGACATCATATTTGGTTCTCCTATTAACTCTCTTGTTTATGAATTCGCCGAATGCATGAACCAAAAATTTGAGATGAGTATGGTTGGAGAATTAAGTTACTTTCTTAGTTTCCAAGTAAAGCACACTGATGATGGGTTATTCATATATCAATCGAAGTACATAAAAGATCTTGTCAAGCATTTTGGACTAGACAATAAGAAACAGACTAGAACCTCCATGAGCACAAATGTCAAGTTAGGTCATGATCCTATACGTAAGAGTGTTGATCAGACACTATACAT